CTCGCTCTGTCGCCCAGTGCTGCGGGAGTGCCAGCTGCGTGTGATCTCGGCGAGCATCAACTGCAAGTTACCGGCCCTCCCGTGGGTCACGGCCATTCTCCTGCCTCAGCCTCACCGAGTAGCATGGTGACTACAGCACCTGCCACCTTTCGCCGGCTGAATTTTTCTGTAATTTTAGTAGAGATGCGGGGGTTTCACCGTGTTAGCCAGGGATGGTCTCGCAGTCTCCGTGACTCGTGATCCGGGACCACCGTCGACCTCCCAAAGTGCTGGGGACTTACAAGGCCATGTGAGCCACCGCACCCGGCCCAGCATCACCCTTTAACCACAGACTGGACCTTCTCATCAGCCTTTTCTCCCTCCCCAACCCCAAATTGGGTGCTGTTCTTACAATTTCTCCATTTCCTGAAAGGAGACAAAAAAGTAGAGGGTTTTTTTGGAGGGACGGGGCTGGTCACAGATAGGGCAGTGAAGATATCCTCAAATTACCTGCCAAGTGACAGTCCTGGGGCTGGCTCTTCTGGTGTCCCCAACTGCCCCAGGGCTCTGGGGCCCAGTATTTGCTCCCTGGGGCTGGTACCAACCAGGGTGTGGACTTGGGGTTGCCTGTGCTGGCAGTGAGAGGAGAGTCTTGTGACCATCATCAGCCTAGTCTGGCAGAGGGAGAGGACAAGTGACTGCTCAGGTCTCCTTTCAGCAACAGGACAGTCCCTCTCTCTTGGCTCTTGGAGGAACCTTCCCTTCATTGGTTTCTGGATCTCTGGTCTTTAAATCCTCAAGGCAATGAACAGGCATCTGAGGCCACACCAGGAGCTGCAGCAGGGGGTGGAAGAAGGAAGGGTTTGTAGGGGCAGTAAGAGGGTAACAATTCCAATGACCAAAGGCCAAAGCTGGCTGGGTTGGGGGCAGGTGACTTCCTGAAGGACAACTGGAAAGGTGGCTGCCAAGACAGCCCCTCCCCAAAGCTCTCAGGCCAGACGTGATTCGAATTCAGAAGCGTTCCAACCTGGAAAGGTATCACAGTGTGTATTCCATGTATCATGTGATGCCCTCTGCAGGGTCTGGGGCCACCACACATGATCAAATAAATGCATTCGTATTTCTGCAATGCAATGTATGTCTAGCCACAGTAAGTGGGACAAAAGCTGTAAGCCTCACCTTAGTTCAGATTAAGCATTGGCACTGGGTGAAGATACTTGGTTTCCAGATTCTCTTTTTTTTTTTAGGATTGCAGATAAGGGATGGGAGCCTGCTTTCCAGGTCCGGCTCTCCTGCCTTAGGGGTGGGCTGAGGAAGCATTTTTTTCTTCCAGCGTGGAAGCAGCAGCATACAGATAGGTCCACAGCTCCCTCTTGTGCCTAACTATGTAAGTAGCAGGTCCTGATTTTTATTTAATAATTATTAGTGTTACCAAAATGATGCTCTGTTGCTTTAAAAGAAATCAAACAAAAAGATTGCTTAAAAAAGGAGAGTCTCCTACACCCTCTACATAGCCCCACCCTTCCCCCATCAGTCAGTCCATTGGGGTTCCTGTGCATCTGCACACATACATACAGGTAAGCAGTGTAAAACTAGTTGGTTTTGTGGATTATTTTTTTTAAAATAACACAAATGGGGTTATGCTAGACATTACTGTTACCCACTCCTCCTCCTGCTATTTTCCCTGGAGCTCTTCTAGGTCCAAACCCACAGAGCCCCAGGTTCCTATAACAGGGATGCAGAGTCCTCCAGAGAAAGCAGGGTGCAAATCTCTTTGTAAGGACCTCTTTGAACCCCCAGGAGAGGAGCTCTGAATTTGAAGAAAGGATTTAAGGCCCCTCCAGAAACAGGCTGCTTCATTACATGAGTGGTTATCCCCTCTCCCAAAATCTCCCTTCCTGGGGCCCTGGAGCCATTTTTTAGGAGAGAGGTTTCTAAGATCACTTCCAAGGAAAGTTTCCTCCATCATTTAAATATAGTTCAGAAATGCTGGGTGAGACCAAGTCAAAAAGCATGGCTCCAGCTATAACCCGCAGACAAGCAGGGGAATGACTGAAGGAGAAAAGATGTCCTCCAGTAGCTGCTGGCAGAGGGGTGGGTGCTGGGGCAGGGCCAGGCTGTCTCGCTGTTCCCTGGGTGATGGGGGTGGTTTTGATGGTCTAGGAAAGGGCTTCTAGTCTTCTTTTACCATTGTCTGGTGCACTGCCCCCAGTGTTCCTGCCCGAAAGGGGTGTACTTCCCAGGTCCCCTTTACTGACTCCCGCATCCACCCCGACCTGCTGGGTTGGCTGCCGTGTTCAGCTACCCTCAGATGACTGGAAATGCCTGCAAGGCTATGCCTGTTCTCCTCTCACGTCCAAGTGTTGCCAGATAAAATACGGTTTGCCCAGTTAAATGTTAATTTCAGATAAACAACAAATACATTTTTAGTATAAAGATGTCCCACTCATTATTTATCTGAAACTCAAATTTAACTGGGCATTCTGTATTTTTGCTTATTTTTGCAGAGGAAAAAAAAAAAAAAAAAAAAAAAATCATTCATTCACTGGAAATTGTATATCAAAAACAAAAGACAAGAGTCATCAAACTATTCTTTTTGACTCTCTTCTATAGGATTTAGGAGCCCTAAACTCCCCAGGAGCTTCACTCTTTCCAATTTTTTTTTTTACAGAAAATCTACATCCAAGTCATTCTGGTAATAAGGTGAGATAAACTTTATAGTTTAAATTGGAATTCAGGACTGTGTTTGAATATTTTAGTTTACCAGAGAAGAATGGAACTTAGAGCTTAAAAACAAGAAGAAGATATGAGAATATGACATCAAGCTGGGATGCAGCTAAAGCACTGCTCCGAGGGAAATTTATAGGCTTCAAAACATATATTAGAAGGGAAGACGCTAGGTGGAGTAGCTCACACCTGTAGTTCCAACACCTTGGAAGGCCAAGGCAGGAGGATTGCTCGAGCCCAGGAGTTTGAGACCAGCCTGGGCAGCATGGCAAGACCTCGTCTCTTATAAAAGAAAAGAAAAGAAAAGAAAGAAAAAAGGAAAGAAAAATCAATAAATTAAGCTTCTATCTCAAGAAATGAGAAAAGAAATAGTATCAAAGCCAGAGAAAAATAAAGGGAAGTAATACAGACAAAACCAAAAATCAATGAAGTAGAAAAGAAAGTAGATATTAGACATTTTATTTGTTCCAATTTCCTATATTCACCAAGAATTCTGAGTATAGTGGGAGAGGGGTTCAGTGTTGGTGGGCCTAGGTGATGAGAGATGGTGTCCTCAGGGTCACTGAAGAAGCCCCAGACCTGGGATAAGCACCTCAGGTCAGAAACCATAGTGGATACAGGAATTCTTATGCTCTGGGTTGAATACCAGCTAAAGATGACATCAAAAGCAGTCCCTGAACTGTGCCCACCATGGGGTCATTCAGGCAGGGTGTGTGCCATCCATCCCAGCCCAGAAGGACAGTAGGCAGTTTCTGCAGCTGGACACAGCTTCCATCCCCTCTGCTGTCACCAGAAAGCACTTACTACAAATTGTGAGCAGAGGGTATGAAGGAGTCATTTTTAACTATAAGGTGGGTTTTCAGGTTCTTGCTTGGTTCTGCAATTCTGGCCACGCTCAGAAGAAAGACTCTTGTGTCTGAATTCCTGCCTCTGCTCTGAGTCCCCCATGCCACACCCCGCTGTGCTCTATGGTGTGTGCCTTTGATGACAGTCGGGAAGAAGAAAGTACTTATTCATCACAGCACCCCCTGAAAGACTGCCAGGAACTTGTGAAATAACAATGGAAAGCCCCAGGAATCACAGCTGCAGCTGGGCTCTCCATCCCACTGCCTGGAGTTGGGGCCTTCAGGGCTGCTGTGGGCAGACCCTTCTGGTCAGGTGTTGAAGAGGGACAAGCAACGGTGAGAACTCAGTTTGGAGTCAGTCTGGGCTCCTTGTCCTGGACAGAGGTAACAGTAGGAGTGATTGATGTAACAAATGCATCAAACTGATGAGACTGCCTGTGTAAGCCTGTATCTTCCATTTGAGCCCCAGTGAATATTCCCCATCCTGGGGAACCTTGTTGCTTTGCCCAGGGGAAATTCTCAGAACCTATGTCAGGCCAGGCTGGAGGACTAAACTTTGTAAGTATATGCCAGGGGCTATTCTAAGTGTTTTCACGCAGCCCTGTACGTATGACACCATGCCAGTTTTACAGCAGAGGTACCGAGGCATGGAGCAGTGAAGAATCTTGCCCAAGGTCACATAGCTTACGAGGAAAGGGAAGCCTCTCAGTGTATAACTCAAGGTAATGTGTAAAAACAATGCTTTTACCTGTTCAGGCAGGAGCTCTCCCTCATAACTTACCAGTCCGCCTGGGGCTCCATTGGCTCACCTGGACCAGGCCAGTGTGTGGCAGCCTTAGCTGTAGATTGCTGGGGCCACACCTCCTGGCTTGAGCCCCCATTGAAGAAGGTGAGCCAGTTGTTCATTTATCATAGTTAAGGACTTCCAACTGCCCAGCCTCCTGCTGGACAGGAAACAGAACTCACCTGGATTCCGACATCATTCTGCTAAGGACATACCCAGGGACAGCTTGCCCTCTCCACTCCAGCCTCTTTAATAACCAGGACTAGAGTGTCATCTACTTCGGAAGGGCTCATTCACCTTGCTGATACCCTCTCCCCGCCCCCAATACTGTGGAAATGAGTGTTGTTTGTTCCCAACAATATTCGGCTTTGGGAGAAGTCTCGGCTCAGTCTCGTTGCCTCTCTGGGGTCTGGCATGGAAAGCAGTCAAGAGATGTGGCCTGGCCGGACACAGTGGCTCACACCTGTAATCCCAGAATTTTGGGAAGCTGAGGCAGCTAGATCACCTGAGGTTAGGAGTTTAAGACCAGCCTGGCCAACATGGCAAAACCCCTTCTTTACTAAAAATACAAAAAATTTGCCAGGCATGGTGGTGCACACCTGTAGTCCCAGCTGCTGGGGAGGCTGGGGCACAAGAATTGCTTGAACCCGGGAGGCGGAGGTTGCAGTGAGTCAAGATTGCGCCACTGCACTCCAACCTGGGCAGCACAGCAAGACTCTGTCTCAAGAAAAAAAGAAAGAAAAGAAAAAGAAAAAAAATATGTGGCTGCTCCTAGCTGCCACTTCAGAAGCCAGCCCTGAGGCTCTGCGGGGGTCTGCCCAGGCAACTGTTAGAGGGATTGCTTACTGGCCAGGGGCTATACCTGCCTTCAAACAAATTTGGGGTCTAATATTTAGAGATAAATGCTGCATTTAGGCCGCCTTACTTTCCAAGCCCTGGATATTGTTCTTAGGATCGTGGGTTGCTTAGGTAACTAACATTGTTCTAAAATGGTGGCTGTAGATTTTAACACGTGCAGGCCCCAGCCTTCTGCTTTGGAGGAGCTATCACCTTTCAGCTCTTCCAGCGTCACCCTTTTTTTTTTTTGCTTTTTTTGAAGCGGAGGTTCCGCCTTCTGTCCCTCAGGGCTGGATGTGCAGGTGGTGTGATCTCTGGCTGCACTGCAAGCTTCGCCTCCCGGGTTCCACCGGCCCATTGCTCTGCTCCTCACTCCCGAAGTAGCTGGGAACTGACAAGCAACCTGCCACCTCGCCCGGCCTAAATCTGTTTTGTATTTTTAGTAGAGCATGGGGTTTCACCGTGTTTAGCCCAGGATGGTCCCTCCATCCTCCTGACCTCGTGATCCGCCCACTCGGCTCCCAAGTGCTGGGATTACAAGGCAGAGCCACCGCACCCGCCCAGTAAATCACCCTTTAACCACAGACTGGACCTTCTCATCAGCCTTTTCTCCCTCCCCACCCCCAAATTGGGTGCTTGTTCTTACAATCTCCATTTCCTGAAAGGAGACAAAAAAGTAGAGGGTTTTTTTGGAGGGACGGGGCTGGTCACAGATAGGGCAGTGAAGATATCCTCAAATTACCTGCCAAGTGACAGTCCTGGGGCTGGCTCTTCTGGTGTCCCCAACTGCCCCAGGGCTCTGGGGCCCAGTATTTGCTCCCTGGGGCTGGTACCAACCAGGGTGTGGACTTGGGGTTGCCTGTGCTGGCAGTGAGAGGAGAGTCTTGTGACCATCATCAGCCTAGTCTGGCAGAGGGAGAGGACAAGTGACTGCTCAGGTCTCCTTTCAGCAACAGGACAGTCCCTCTCTCTTGGCTCTTGGAGGAACCTTCCCTTCATTGGTTTCTGGATCTCTGGTCTTTAAATCCTCAAGGCAATGAACAGGCATCTGAGGCCACACCAGGAGCTGCAGCAGGGGGTGGAAGAAGGAAGGGTTTGTAGGGGCAGTAAGAGGGTAACAATTCCAATGACCAAAGGCCAAAGCTGGCTGGGTTGGGGGCAGGTGACTTCCTGAAGGACAACTGGAAAGGTGGCTGCCAAGACAGCCCCTCCCCAAAGCTCTCAGGCCAGACGTGATTCGAATTCAGAAGCGTTCCAACCTGGAAAGGTATCACAGTGTGTATTCCATGTATCATGTGATGCCCTCTGCAGGGTCTGGGGCCACCACACATGATCAAATAAATGCATTCGTATTTCTGCAATGCAATGTATGTCTAGCCACAGTAAGTGGGACAAAAGCTGTAAGCCTCACCTTAGTTCAGATTAAGCATTGGCACTGGGTGAAGATACTTGGTTTCCAGATTCTCTTTTTTTTTTTAGGATTGCAGATAAGGGATGGGAGCCTGCTTTCCAGGTCCGGCTCTCCTGCCTTAGGGGTGGGCTGAGGAAGCATTTTTTTCTTCCAGCGTGGAAGCAGCAGCATACAGATAGGTCCACAGCTCCCTCTTGTGCCTAACTATGTAAGTAGCAGGTCCTGATTTTTATTTAATAATTATTAGTGTTACCAAAATGATGCTCTGTTGCTTTAAAAGAAATCAAACAAAAAGATTGCTTAAAAAAGGAGAGTCTCCTACACCCTCTACATAGCCCCACCCTTCCCCCATCAGTCAGTCCATTGGGGTTCCTGTGCATCTGCACACATACATACAGGTAAGCAGTGTAAAACTAGTTGGTTTTGTGGATTATTTTTTTTAAAATAACACAAATGGGGTTATGCTAGACATTACTGTTACCCACTCCTCCTCCTGCTATTTTCCCTGGAGCTCTTCTAGGTCCAAACCCACAGAGCCCCAGGTTCCTATAACAGGGATGCAGAGTCCTCCAGAGAAAGCAGGGTGCAAATCTCTTTGTAAGGACCTCTTTGAACCCCCAGGAGAGGAGCTCTGAATTTGAAGAAAGGATTTAAGGCCCCTCCAGAAACAGGCTGCTTCATTACATGAGTGGTTATCCCCTCTCCCAAAATCTCCCTTCCTGGGGCCCTGGAGCCATTTTTTAGGAGAGAGGTTTCTAAGATCACTTCCAAGGAAAGTTTCCTCCATCATTTAAATATAGTTCAGAAATGCTGGGTGAGACCAAGTCAAAAAGCATGGCTCCAGCTATAACCCGCAGACAAGCAGGGGAATGACTGAAGGAGAAAAGATGTCCTCCAGTAGCTGCTGGCAGAGGGGTGGGTGCTGGGGCAGGGCCAGGCTGTCTCGCTGTTCCCTGGGTGATGGGGGTGGTTTTGATGGTCTAGGAAAGGGCTTCTAGTCTTCTTTTACCATTGTCTGGTGCACTGCCCCCAGTGTTCCTGCCCGAAAGGGGTGTACTTCCCAGGTCCCCTTTACTGACTCCCGCATCCACCCCGACCTGCTGGGTTGGCTGCCGTGTTCAGCTACCCTCAGATGACTGGAAATGCCTGCAAGGCTATGCCTGTTCTCCTCTCACGTCCAAGTGTTGCCAGATAAAATACGGTTTGCCCAGTTAAATGTTAATTTCAGATAAACAACAAATACATTTTTAGTATAAAGATGTCCCACTCATTATTTATCTGAAACTCAAATTTAACTGGGCATTCTGTATTTTTGCTTATTTTTGCAGAGGAAAAAAAAAAAAAAGAAAAAACAGAGAGATGTGGCCCACAGCTCCCTCTTGTGCCTAACTATCTAAGTAGCAGGTCCTGATTTTTTATTTAAAAATTAGTGTTACCAAAATGATGCTGTCACTTTAAAAGAAATCAAACAGTCGGGTGCAGTGGCTCACACCTAATCCCAGCACTTTGGAGGCTGAGGCAGGTGGATCACCTGAGGTCAGGAGTTCGAGACCAGCCTGGCCAACATGGTGAAACCCTGTCTCTACCGAAAATGCAAAATTAGGCCAGGCACAGTGGCTCACGCCTGTAATCCCAAAATTTTGGGAGGCCAAGGCAGACAGATCATCTGAGGTTGGGAGTTCAAGACCAGCCTGACCAACATGGAGAAACCCTGTCTCTACTAAAAATACAAAATCAGCTACGCATGGTGGCACATGCCTGTAATCCCAGCTACTCTGGAGGCTGAGGCGGGAGAATTACTTGAACCCAGGAGGTGGAGGTAGAAGTGAGCAGAGATCGGGCCATTGCACTCCAGTCTGGGCAAGAAGAGCGAAATTCTGACTCAGAACAAAACAAAACAAACAAATTAGCCGGGTGCAGTGGTGCATGCCTGTAATCCCAGTTACTTGGGAGGCTGAAGCAGGAGAATCGCTTGAACCTGGGAGGCGGAGGTTGCAGTGAGCCGAGGTCGCACCATTGCACTCCAGCCTGGGCAACAAGAACGAAATTCTGTCTCAAAAAAAAAAAATCAAACAAAAAGATTGCTTAAAAAATGAGTCTCCTACACCCTCTGCACAGCCCCACCCTTCCCCTATCAGTCAGTCCACTGGGATTTCTGTGCATTTGCACACACACAAACGGGTAAGAACTCCTGGGCTCAAGCAATCCTCCTGCCTCAGCCTCCAAAAGCACTGTGATTACAGACATGAGCCACTGTGCCTGGCCTATCCTCTATTTTTATTTGCTAAATCTGGCAACCCTATAGGTGGTGGCCAATGACAGGAGGAATGTGAAGGCTTGGCCCCCTTGCCTGAAAGCCTGGAAGCTTCCTTAGTATCATTTATGCTCCAGGACTCCCCATGGGATCCAGCTGAGGCTGGACTCAGCAGAATCTGTTACCAAAACACCAGCAGTTGCATCTAGGTCCTGCCGCTCACCAAAGAGAAAGCTAATCACTGGAACAATGAATATTGCCAGGGAAGAAGGCTTTCCTTGGGTGCTGCTGCTGTGGACATGGGAGATCAGTCTCAAATCCATCTCCCTGACTGACTAAAATTAGGAGTTTATACAGCGGAAATATAACTACATGCAGGAAAACAGGAATCAGGGAAGGATAAGGAAGGGGAGTTAGTCAACAGAAAGCAGGTCGTGGGAGACAGGCAATCGTGAAGGATGAAGGGTCTGGACTCATCCAAATGCAGTGATCTGGTGAGTTTCGGCTCCTTGATACTATCTGGGACAACTCATGGTTGGTTTACTGAGAAAGGAACTCAGATAAGACAAATGTAACTTTCTCAAATTTTAAGACTGAGAAGGTCAGTTTCACAGAGTGAGACCCTATCTCCAAAAAAAAAGAAAAAAAGACTGAGGCAGCCTTGTGTGTTTTGATCTGGAGCAATTTTAGATATGTTGTCAAGAGGGAAAAGCCTATCATATTTTTCAGGGGACACTTAAGAAACTCATACTAGTGGTTGCTCCTGGAGAGGGGAGAGGCTGACAGGGGAAGAGGTAGAAGTCACTTTTTAATATTTATCCCTTTATGTCATTTGAAATGTATGCTGTAAGCCTACAGTACCTATTCAAAAAATA